AATTTTACCCCTAATAGAATTCTTTCAAGAGATCTATGTCTTACAGTTCTTATTTCATGCTTGTCGAGATTCATTTTACCTCTTATTCTATGTATTCGAGGTCAATCAGTCTATTCATTCCTTGAACCTCACTTCTGATTAATAAATGTCACTTCACATATGAAATGCTTTACTTCCTTTTAATTCATTTGTAGTGATGTACTTGTTCTTAATTTATCTGAAGTAATTTACTTCTTCTTAATCCGTCTAAAGTGATTTACTTCCCTTTGGTCCACTTCTGAAGTGATTAACTTTCTTTCAAATCACGTCTCAAATAATCTCAGTTCTTTTAAATCACGTCTCAAATAATCTCAGTTCTTTTATTAATAAAAAATAATAACAAAAATGTAAAGCAAACACAAACAAACACATGATTTTAAAAATGAATTTTCATTCAAGGAAGAATTACAAATTGTTTCAATGTTTTACAAAACTTAAAAAAACAAAAGTTCTCTGCTGGAGAGGTGACTGCATTGGCTCCTACTCAGCTGGAGGAGGTGGCTGTGTTGGCTGCTGCTCGTCTGGCGGAGGAGGCTGATCATCGTCAGAAGGAACTGGATGAATCTCTACTTCTAGAACTGGTTGGTTCTCATCCACTTCAGCTCCCTCCACTCTTGCCTCCATCTCATCTTCCTCTACCTCTGCCCCTTCTTCCTCCACTGCCACGAACTTGAAGTCGAACTGTGGAGGGAAAACAACACGCCCGTTTGCATCATCCTCCCACCTCAGTTTGATCTGAGGACGGAAGTCTGCTGACATGCTTTCACCATCTTCCTCCACCCCTTCTTCTTGCTCTCCAAAGGTGATCTTCGTAATATCCACTTCGGGATATTCTGCCTTCACCTTCTTCCTACCTTCTTCCTGCAGTCCGTGAATGCAATGATGGCAGTCGGCAGCCGGTATAAGTTGACGATGTTGTCAAACGAGCTGGAGCTGATGAAGTTGCTAATGTGCTCCTTCATCCCATTGTGCACCAAGGTCTGCACATTCCCCTTTAGCTCCAAGAAAGCCTCCTTCGTCAGCTTTAGTTCTTGCGCCTGAACCTCACGCTCGCTTTCAGATATCTTTCGTTTGCTCTCTTCAAAGCCGAACTTGGTGCTCAGGGAAGATCTCTCCTGCTCCAATTGCTTCAGAGTTGGAACCACCTCGTCCAACGACTCTTGCAGATCTTTATTCTTCTTCTCCAACACTTCCTTCTCCTTCTGCAGCTGGTCTCGCTGCCTCTGCAAGAGTGCACGATCCATCAGGCTCTCCCTGAATTCCTGGGCTAGACCATTCACCCAACTCGCGCTCTGCAGATCAAAACTGAAGTTAAAAACAACATTGAACGAGGAGAAAATGAGGCAGGTTCACTAAACAACATTACTACTTTAACTTACCTCTAGAACGTGCTTCACAACAGGCACTCCACCATACCTCAGAGCTTCCTGTCACGCGTTGCTTTGGTCCACCTCGGGGAAGGTGTTGTTGATGAACCACCTGGCCCCCGTTATGTTCTTCACCTCGAACAGGCTGCTCTGAGACCTCAGTGGGGGAATAGGCCCCTTCCCTTTACCAGGAGCTCGTACCTCAGCCCCCTCCTCCAACTGTCTGAGCTCAGGGTCCAACTCAACAAGAGAAGGCTAAGGTACGAACTCAGGAACCTCATCCCCCTCATCCTCCTCCACCACCTTCTGCTTCTTCTGCAGTGCCCTCCTCTCCTCCCAACCCTTCCTCTTCAGCGGCGGCACCTCCTCCTCTGTCTCAGCTGAAACCAAGGGCACCATCTCCTTCCCAGCCCTCCCCTCATCCACTTGCTTGGTCGAAGTCTTTGACTTCTTCCTTGGCTTCTTGGGGATGGGCGCTCCTCCAGCAGTATTTAAAAACTGGTCCATTTCAGCTGCAAAGTAAGAAACACAATATTAATCACAATTCTATGTTATACATTCAACGCTACAGTGCATGTTTCACAAACCTTCACTCAGAGCGCTTGGCCCATAGAGCTCAGCAGCTTCTATGCATGCTGCGCTGGTGAGGTCCATGATATTCAACACATCTCCCCCCTTCCTCACCAATTTCCTCACTTCTTCCTCCTCATCTTCATTTAAGCTAAACCTATTCTAGTTGGCCCTTTTGGCCTTCCAGGAGGCTAACTCCCTCACCTCGGTATCCCCCTTCCCCCACTCCGTATCATCTACAAAAAAGAATTTTTTCTTCCATCCCTTAATGGATGAAGGACCTGCAGTGAATAAAATCCTACTTTCCTTTTTAGCTACCCTGGGGGTGAAATAATACCACCCCTTATCCCTCCTACTTCCCCCCTTTAAAACAAAAAAGTACTTAAACATATTTACAGTTGGCACACTAATCCCCTAAGCTCGGCAATAAACTAAAAAACCTATTATTACCCTCATTGCGTTGGGGACCAACTGTGTCAACCCTATGCTGTAATCTAATAGTAAACCTATTAGCAACTCAGGAAGTGGAAACCTGAGTCCCGCTATCAAATAGTGGGAATACACAGGCATCCAGTGATCCCGAGGAGCAGAGCACGCCCTCTCCTCTACCCCAGCTGGCCTAACTAACACTCGAGACGAGATTTCGTAATTTTCTACTAAGTGACCCAAGCTATCCCTGGTCCTTAGCTCAGATCTGTATTGCTTCACCTCCTCCACTATTTCTGCATGAACATCGTAATTCCTCTCTCCTCTACCCTCTACTTCTACTACGGTGATAGGTATGCTATCTACCCTAACCCCTACCACCTCATCCCTCCCCACCTCTACCACCTCATCCCTCCCCACCTCTACCACCTCTCTCTCCCCAACCTCCACCCCCTCATCTCCTCTCACCCCCTCTACCGTTTTCTCCTAACTAGTTGGAGATGGACTACTCTCTGCGTCCATGCTCCCATAGTCCAGGGGCATCACCTCACTCCCAACTACACTTTCTGCTCCTTCTGAGGACATTTTTTCAAACTCTGCACGAAGTAGGGGGGAGGAATAAATCAGGATCCCATAAAAAATAAAAAATAAAAAAAAACCCCCCTTTTTTTGTTGCACATTCAAAATCCCTCTCATCTCTAACCCTAACTTCCTTCAAAGAACTCTAAATCAATCACAGAAAGGGAGAAAGGAGAACGACACTTCGATTAACTTAAAATCAGAGTTTCGTCTACATTACCTGATTTCGGTTTCGAAAGACTTGATGTAGAGTTCCCCAGTTGATGCTGCAGTTCACGCACCGGAAACGCACAGTAAAGCTTCTCGCAGAAGTTTTGGAGGAAAACAAAAAGCAAGTAAACTTCTTTCTACAGAAAAAATGCCTATTTATACTTCTGGGCAAAATTAGATCTCAACAGATGAGATTTGTTTAATCTTACGGTTCCTGTTAACACCGTTTGGAATTTGATGGACAATCCAAAACGGTACCGTTTTGAACTTGACGGTTCGTTTTTAAATTTGCCCGTTTAACTGTTGCAGTTATCTTTTTACGGCTGCATTTATTGCGCACGTCATTTCAAGGACAACTGTCACACGTATGTCAGTATTTTGACACGGGCCCATTTACGCCCATCTCAACACCTTTGTTCATTTTTATACATTCTCAATTTTGCAAGTGTTTCACCTCGGCTTCGACCACAATAATCATGCATTATATTTCACATTGGCTTCGGCCACAGTGACCCAATATCACACATTTTATTTCCGCTACGGCCATTATGACTACGGTCATTATATTTTATTACAGCTCCGGCCATTATGACTCCGGTCATCATATTTTAAGCCCAGCTCAGCACTTCTGCTTACTTTTACCATTACACTTTTTGACGGGCAACGTGTTTTACTTCGGCTCCGGCCACAGAGACATGTTCTACTTCGGTCCTGGTTATTACGACCACATGTCACATACTCTACCTCGGCTCCGGCCCTTATGACTCCGGTCATCATATTTACGGCTCCGGCCATTATGACTCCGGTCATCATTTTCCATCATGGCCTTGGCCTTGGCCTTTATAACTCCAGTTATCATTTTTATTATGACCTTGGCTCCATTATGACTCTAGTCATTATTTTCGCCACGGCCACAGCCGTGATCGCTTCGGTCATATTCTATTTAAGGCACCCCAGTATGACCCACTGTTATGTATTTCATTATTAGCTACGGCTATGTCTAAATTTAAATTACAGCTTTCTTCCTTATACTTCCATGACTTATCCGTATTTTCTTTGTTCATACACTCCCCTCATTATCCCCAGCAACATCATTCACAAGTGAATGACTTCGAGGGGGGGGGAATAGTGTAAGGACAGGTCCGAGGTGCCAAGCCTCGGACTGCTACAGTAATTCCTTTATGACCGAAGTGAGAAATGAATCCAAAGCTTCCTGCTCAAATAGCTGCATGACAATGACAATAAGCATGCCCGTACCTGATTCCTTATGACGAGTGGCACAGCAAGTATGGTGGACATCCGTGCATCTGAATACCTCTCAAATTCCCGGTCCCGGAATAATCGTCTGGATGGACACGTCAGGCTCCGATTATCTTGCTTGGCATGCCGTGTGGGTTCCTCATTGGATCCTATAAATACCCCCTCCAGGCCACGTCAAAAGGTAATTGAAACCAACCCTAAGCTCTTTTTATCTCCGCCTTAAAGGTAGCCCCGATTATTGCTGACTTAAGCATCGGAGTGTCTACCCCGAGTTCCACCTCGGGGCTTTGCAGGTCATCCCGGAGTGTAAGCGCGGACTGAAGAAGAACTTCTGGTTTGGTGCAATTACAAGGGGGAAGGTTTCAAGGCTCAAAATCTGGTTTTTGAACAAGAAAAGAGGAGAAAAACACAAGCTTCTTACCGATTTTTCTCAAGGGAAGGCGTCGGTGGTGGCTGGGGCTCTTGTTCGGTGTAGGGGGAAGAAAAGAAGAAGAGCATAATCGAGCAAGGCTGAAGAAAGAAAGAAGAAAAAATACCCGGTCCTTATCCAAATTCTTTTAAATCCCTCAACTTTTGAAATTCTTTCTATTAAGCTCAAAACAATAATTTTTCACAATTTAGTCCTTAACTCACACTTATTTATCCTAGAAATTTTTGGGGTATCACATCCACCCCTCCTAAAAAGGAGTTTTGTCCCCAAAACTCAAATTGGGGATCATCTAGACTGGTGAATGGCTTCACACAATCCGAGACGAAACAAATGCCCCATCGACTTCCTATGAACAGAACACAACCTACTATGCTTCCGCTGCGTCACTCTGATATCAAATCATAACTAATCTTAAAAAGCAAAACATTAACTATTTAACAAGATTTACCATGAAACAAGCTATTGGAGGCTGGGGTGATATAGGAAGCACAGGGAATAAAAAATAAACCCTGCCAAAGCCACAAAAAAACAATTGTGGGGTTACGCTTTGTAATATCCCCAAATTTTCTAAGATATTTAAGGGTGAGTTATGGATTTAATTGTGAGAGAATAATGTTGTTGGCCTTAATAATAGAAATTTTCAAAGTTTAGGGACTTAAAAGAGAAAATTGGATAAGGTCGGCAAAAAAAATTTAATTTTTCTTTCTTTCTTTTTCTTCCTCATCCAGTCACGTGTTCTGCTTATCTTCTTCTCCTTCCCAACCTTGCCTCCCAAAAACCTCCCCCACAGCCACCGACGCACTCTTCTTGAGAAAAACCGGTAAGAGCTTGAAGTTTTCTCCTTCTTTCTTGTTCTCGGATTGGAAGTGAACCCAAAAATCCCCCCTCTTCTGCAGATTTTCGGATCTGCTCTGCCCTGCTCTGTCCTTCCTTGAGCTGCTCTTGCCGGTGGAGTGCTTCCCCGTTTTTCTGGTAAGGGAACAACTAGGAAATCATCCCTTTAGCCTTAATTCAAGTTGGTTTCACTCTAATTGCTCTTATTTCCTTCAATTTTGTGTTGATTTCTCTCCAATTTTCGACAGCCTCTCTGACTGCTGGACCCAGCTTTTGCTTGCCGGAAAATTCTGGTAAGTTGCCAGCTCCTCCAAGTCCAATTTATCCATGTAATTGCTGCCTTGTGTTGATTGGATTTTCTGCTTTTGAATTGCCCTTTTTGCTGTCCGAAAATGGAAGAAATTTAGGTGAAATTGTGCTGGAAGGTGGAATGAATTTTGGTAGCTTTAAGTGGGTTTTTGTTTAATTTAAGTGGAGGTTAGCTTGAGTTGGTTGTTGTGATGTTAATTGTGGAAGAATCTTATGACATTCTGTGACTTGTTGTTTTGGCCAAAGCTTGGTTTCTCCATGGCTGTCCATGGAATTGGAAACCATTTATATGTGTGATTGTGTATATATATATACACACAATCCGATTGTGATGCCCAAAATTGGATGAAATAAATAAATAAAGAAAAGAAATAAATAAATAAAGAAAAGAAATAAATTTTCCTTATGGGGTTAATTTTCGGTAACATTAGAAAGGATTAAATAGGTAGTTTTTATATGGTTATTAATTCTGGGGTATTTTGATTAGGTTCTTGAGTGTTCTATCACCGAGCACTTGGCTTGAGTTTCCAGTATTACGGATTTGAGGTAAGTAAATTTATGGTAAAGCCCTTTGATTTTAAAGTATATTTTAAACTGTTTTTGAGATGGTGGTAAGGTTTAAATTGATTTTAAATTGATTTTATCAGCATTTGAGTGTGATTAAACTTAAATGAAAATTTGGATGATTTTTAATGAGAATTTCCTTGTTTTTTCTGGAATTGAGCATGATTGGAATGAAAATGGGAATTTCATTGTTTTTTTGAAGTAGAGCATGCCACTTGGAACTTACTGAACTGCTCTGATGATTTAAGAATTTTTCGTAAATTATGATTTTCTGTTAAATCCATGTCCACATGGGATTTTCTGGTTATTTTTGAAATTTGAGATTTGATAGTGAATTATGGATTTTCTGGAAATTCTGCATGGTTTTGTCTCTGATATAGTCATGATTACTGACGCCCGCTAGTGGGAGTTTGTAAACGCTAGTACATGTCGACATGTATTTCTATAGAACCAGTTCACCCTGCCAATGGGGTTAAACATTGGTCATTATTAACGCCTACCAATGGGAGTTTGTTAAACACTGGTACTATTACTGACGCCTGCCAGTGGGAGTTTGTTAAACACTGGTACTATTACTGACGCCTGCCAGTGGGAGTTTGTTAAACACTGGTACTTCTGTAACCCTGCCAATGGGGTTAAACATTGGTTATTACTAACGCCTACTAGTGGGAGTTTGTTAAACATTGGTACCATTATTGACGCCTGTCAGGTGGGAGTTTGTTAAACACTAGCCATGACTTATAGATGAGACTACTGATGAGTTTTATTGTGCATGAACGGTTTATCATTGAAAGTTATGTTATGCTTACATGGTTTATCTAGCATGCTTAAATTTTTATCAAGGGTTGTCCATATTTTTACTTATTGAGATATTTTATCTCACCTAGTTTTTCTTTGTCCACCATTTCAGCTAGTGATACCTGACACGTGGGGAGTCGAGGGAGTGACAAGCTAGACGGCTGGGCATTATTTTGGATTTAGATCTTTTGGAGTTAGGCCGCTAATCTCACATGGTTGACTCAAATAACCATTTTTGTGTACAAAGTTTTCTTGGTTATAGCCATGACCATTTATAAACTTTTGTATATTTGGAATAGTAAATTTTTTGGAAATGGAAAGTTAGATTTTACTTGAGTTTTAGATTTGAATTATCCAATTCGGAAATTAAAAACTCAGTAAGTTCTGAGCCTTGTGCATTTGTGAGACCCTCTCATAAGTGCACGGCGTCTGTCACGTTCCTAGATTTGGGTTCTGGGGTGTGACAGATTTAGTGGTATCAGAGCCTAGGTTTAAATTAAATACCTAGGATTTGTTTAGAATTTGGCTAGCCAAGGGATCATAGGAACGTGGTGAGACATGAGAGTGGGGTTGATTAAGAGCACTTATTTGATTCTTTTTATGTGTGTTGGAATTATTAATTACTATGTTATTTGGTCCCGGAAGTGGGAACTTGCTGGGTCATTTCTCAGTTAGGGTACTTGATTAATGATCTATAAACCTTCTGTGTGATTATAGATGGCTCCGAAACGGCGTGGGTGCCCGAGGGGTGGCCGTAAGGACTCGGGCATTCCTCCGATCCCAGCTGCCAATCCCCCTACCCAAGCTGCTCCTCAGGAGGGAGGGATGAGCAACCCTCAAATGGCCACTTTCTTTCAAGAATTTATGGCGAAGATGAGACGCCAAGCGTCTCCTGCCACAAGTGTGCCACCTCCATCCCCAGTGATTCCCACCCCGGCGGCCTTTGCTCATATTTCTCCTGTTCCTATCTCTTCTGCTCCTGCTGTGCTTAGCTGGAAGATTTATACCGAATTCCAGAAGGTGGTGACTAGGAGATTTGATGGTACAGCAGGTTTTGAGCAAGTAGGGTCATGGTTTACCGAGGTGGAAAGGGGATTCCGCCTACTGAAGGTTTTTGATGACCTTAAGGTTGATGTGGGCAGCTATATGCTTACAGGTGATGCATTAACTTGGTGGGAGACTTATTTGAAGCTACACCAAGGAGAGCCTAAATTAAGCACCTGGGATGGGTTTAAAAGGGTGTTCATGCAAGAGTTTATACCCGATAGCAAAAGGCGAGAACTGCAAAGAGAATTTGCATATCTAAAACAAGGGTCACGTACTGTTGAGCAGTACAAGAAGGAGTTTGACCGCTATCTGCTTTTTGTGGGTGGTTAAGTCGAGGATGAGCAATCCAAAGCTGATAGATTTTTATGGGGCTTGAATCTTGACATTTACCTGGTGGTGAATCAATTCAAACCTGCCACTTATAGAGAGGCAGCAAACAGAGCCATAGATCAGGAGAAGGCTATGGCTAGGGTCAAGACACAAGATCCACAAAAAGTTGGGTCATCCTTTAAGAAGAGAAAATTTGATGAGAGTCGTAGACCCTCAATCTCCGCACCGCCTAAGTCTGATACCGACGAGGCTTCTAAAGAGCTAAGGATTGCCAAGACTGTGGGTCAAGCATCAGCAGCCCAACGTACTCAACCTGCCCCACCTATTTGCCACACTTGTGGAAGAGTGGGCCACACCCGCGACCAATGTCGCGTTTTTACTGGGGCTTGCTACAGATGTGGCAAGTAAGGACATCAGGTTGCGAATTGCCCGCAGCCTGACCCTAGAGCTCAGAGTACTCAAACTGCATCTCCGTAAGGTTCTGCGAATCAAGAGGTGCAGAAGCAGAATGTCGGGGTTAGGACAAAAGCCCAGCAAGCGAGAGTTCACGTGATGACTCACCAGGAAGCTGCGGCTACCGACGTAATCACGGGTACTTGCCTGCTGATTCTGATTATGCACATGTTTTATTTGATTTAGGTGCATCACACTTTTTATTGCTTGATCGTATGCTTTGAAACAGGCTTTACTTGTTGATAATTCTGATTTTGAACTGCATGTGAACACCCCTTTAGGAGGGGTGATGACTATTAGAGATATGCGTAGAACGGTAGATATTATATTGATGGTAAATAATTGAGTGCTAGCTTGTTTGTTTTAGATACCTCAAATTTTGACATCATTCTAGGAAAAATTGAGTCCGAGGTATATTGGACCATATCCTATCCTAGAAAGAATTGGCGAGGTAGCTTATAGATTTAAGCTGCCTGGAAATTTAGCGGGTGTCCATGATGTGTTCCATGTGTCTTTACTTCAAAAACATGTTCCCGACCCAAGCCACAACATTGATCCCGAACCATGCAACTCCGGGAGGATCTCACTTTTGATGAGCACCCAATTCGCATCTTCGATTTGAAGGAGAGAACCCTCCACACCTCTTCCAAGATGGAGGTATAAGTTTAGGGGACTAAACTCCTTTTTAGGAGGGGTGGATGTAATATCCCCAAATTTTCTAAGATATTTAAGGGTGAGTTATGGATTTAATTGTGAGAGAATAATGTTGTTAGCCTTAATAATAAAAATTTTCAAAGTTTAGGGACTTAAAAGAGAAAATTGGATAAGGTCGGCAAAAAAAATTTCCTTTTTCTTTATTTTTCTTCCTCATCGAGTCACGTATTCTGCTTATCTTTTTCTCCTTCATGACCTTGCCTCCCGAAAACCTCCCCCACAGCCACCGACGCACTCTTCTTGAGAAAAACTGGTAAGAGCTTGAAGTTTTCTCCTTCTTTCTTGTTCTAGGATTGGAAGTGAACCCAGAAATCCCCCCCTTCTGCAGATTTTCGGATCTACTCTGCTCTGCTCTGTCCTTCCGCGAGCTGCTCTTACCGGTGGAGTGCTTCCCGGTTTTTCTGGTAAGGGAACAACTAGGAAATCATCCCTTTAGCCTTAATTCAAGTTGGGTTCACTCTAATTGCTCTTATTTCCTTCAATTTTGTGCTGATTTCTCTCCAATTTTCGGCAGCCTCTCTGACCGCCGGACCCAGCTTTTGCTTGCCGGAAAATTCTGGTAAGTTGCCGGCTCCTCCAAGTCCAATTTATCCATGTAGTTGCTGCCTTGTGTTGATTGGATTTTCTGCTTTTGAATTGCCCTTTTTGCTGTCCGAAAATGGAAGAAATTTAGGTGAAATTGTGCTGGAAGGTGGAATGAATTTTGGTAGCTTTAAGTGGGTTTTTGTTTAATTTAAGTGGAGGTTAGCTTGAGTTGGTTGTTGTGATGTTAATTGTGGAAGAATCTTATGACATTCTGTGACTTGTTGTTTTGGCCAAAGCTCGGTTTCTCCATGGCTGTCTGTGGAATTGGAAACCATTTATATGTGTGATTGTGTAGATATATATATATACACAGAATCCGATTGTGATGCCCAAAATTGGATGAAATAAATAAATAAAGAAAAGAAATAAAATTTCCTTATGGGGTTAATTGTCGGTGACATTAGAAAGGATTAAATAGGTAGTTTTATATGGTTATTAATTCTAGGGTATTTTGATTAGGTTCTTGAGTGCTCTATCACCCGAGCACTTGGCTTGAGTTTCCAGTATTACGGATTTGAGGTAAGTAAATTTATGGTAAAACCCTTTGATTTTAAAGCACATTTTAAACTGTTTTTGAGATGGTAGCAAGGTTTAAATTGATTTTAAATTGATTTTATCAACATCTGAGTGTGATTAAACTTAAATGAAAATTTGGATGATTTTTAATGAGAATTTCCTTGTTTTTTTTTGGAATTGAGCATGATTGGAATGAAAATGAGAATTTCATTGTTTTTCTGAAGTAGAGCATGCCACTTGGAACTTACTGAACTGCTCTGATGATTTAAGAATTTTTCGTAAATTATGATTTTATGTTAAATCCATGCCCACATGGGATTTTCTGGTTATTTTTGAAATTTGAGATTTGCTGGTGAATTATGGATTTTTTAGAAATTTTGCATGGTTTTGTCTCTGATATAGTCATGATTACTAACACCTGCTAGTGGGAGTTTGTAAACGCTAGCACATGTCGACATGTATTTCTGTAGAACCGGTTCACCCTGCCAATGGAGTTAAACATTGGTCATTACTAACGCCTGCCAGTGGGAGTTTGTTAAACACTGATACTATTACTGACGCCTTGCCAGTAGGAGTTTATTAAACACTGGTACTTCTATAACCCTACCAATGGGATTAAACATTGGTTATTACTGACGCCTGCCAGTGGGAGTTTGTTAAACATTGGCCATGACTTATAGATGAGACTACTTATAGGCATTAAAAAAATGTCAAAATTTAAAATATATTTACCCTAGTAAAAATCTTAGAAGTTAGGGTAATAAATCTTTAAAGAGATATTATCTCTTTAATTT